AAAATACCTTCGACCCAGTACACAAGGTCACGAATGATCTCATACTTGCTTCACTTTCTGTCCGCATCTCAGACCACATAATCTGCTTTCTCTCCAACTTCTAGCCACATTGGTCTTCAAGTGCACCACACTCTCTCCTGCCTCAGAACCTTTGGGTATGCAGCTTGCTGTACCTGAGATCACCCTCTTCAGCATTTGGAAAACATTTTTACCTTTCAGGTCTTAGCTAAAAGTTTACCCTCTCTGGGAAGGTTTCCTCAACCCCCAGAATAACTCAGGGCCCCTGTTATACCATTGCACCACGAGTATTTTATCTTTATAGAATTTTATTCCTTGAAATCACGCAGTACTTGTGACATTATTTTATTATTGTCTATCTCCCCAAATAAAATGTGGGCATCCAGGGGACCAACACCTTGTCTGTTTTGCCATCCATGGTTTCCATGGTGTTTCAACTAGTGCCTGGGACAAACAGGTGTTCAAAATGAATATTGTGAAATTAATATTTATGAAGGAGAGAGACACATTAAGGCACCTGCTTGTAGAAGAGTTAAAAGGGCATTTTTGTCAAGTGTTGGGCCACCTATTCCAAAACACAAGGGCAGAGCAGAGGGGCATGTGGCTTCTAACAAGATCTCAAGAGTACAACTGGACATCACTGTCAGGCCCCAAATATGAGGGTCAGGAAAGCTGGTTGGCAGAGTGGGAGCCTTAGGTCCTCTCTGACTCTGTAGGTCTATGGCTCAAGACTGCAAGAGGTATCCAACAAATCCAAACCCTGGGCCAAGTCCTGTGGAGATTTTGAAGGAAGTCCTTGTAATCTCAGTGGAGCAATGTCTATTGTGTCCTGTGGGAGAACAAACTATTTTTTCTGTTTCCTGAATGCTTACCATACATGATTCATAAGACAAACTCAGAAACTATCCTCCTCAGGCATCCTCCTTAGAGTCCTTTGAGTCTCACTCTGGTCACCTGGGATCTCGCCTTGTCCCACTTACCGTGGGTTGCCTCTGTGAATGACATGAAGGAAAAGAGTTCTGTGTTTAGATTTTCTCCTCTAAAATGAGGAACTAAACAAGCCAGTTCAGGAAAGAGATATTTTCCTCAATCTGAGAAGTCCTTCAGTTTTCAGATTTCAAAGATGTTTCCAGAAAAGCTAAGCCTATTGAGGAAAGCAAAGATAGACCAAAGACAAGGAAGAAGTTGTAACAAAGATACTTTTTTCTTAGCTGTGTTCTGAGAATGAGCTACTTCCATAACTGCTGATCTCTAATACCTGACTGCCATAGACAAGACTCCATGCAGCCAATGTTCTCCTACCACAGAGGCCCCAAGGAAGGGCAAACCGATAATCATGGGAAGGCAACTCAGGAAGTTTTCATATAAGAGTAATTTGTAGAGGATGTGTTTGAAAAGGAAGAAAATATGTTCCAGGTAGAGGATAAAGTGGGCACAGAGATAAGGGAAGAACTGGAACTCACATTCATCCAGACTACTGCACATAAAGCATGAAGTCAGGGTACATCTGTTGGCCTACTTGCATTGATTGACCAACCTGGGAAAAGATATATCAAAAGACAATGAGTGGAAGTGTAGGAGGATGATGGTGAGGGTGAGGAAGGCCCAGGTAGACTGTGGAAAGATTGGATGCCCTATTAAAGAGACTGGATAGCATCTGGTGGGAAAGTGGAACCACGGGGGTTGGGGAGAAGGTTGAGCCAAAGAATGGTCTTCTGTCCTACAGCTCCAGCTCTGATGGTGGCATAGAGGTGACAACAACATAGTGTGGGTGATTGAAGATATGGCAATAATGAGGCAAGTAGTTATCAGGGCACTTCTTTGATAACACATTTACTGAAATTGGAATTAATCAAAGATTAGCCTGGCTCCTGTGCAAAGATGAAACACAAATTCATGAAACTTTCATTTTTGTGTCTATATGTTGTATGGAGACAGTTTCAATGGGGAAGGTGATACTTTCTGGAGATGAGTGGTAATTTTGGTAGCACAACAGTGTAAATGTACCTAGTGCTATAGAACTGCACCATTTAAAAATGACTAAAATAGTAAATTTTATGTATATTTTACCACAATAAGAGAAGTTGCCAAAATGAAAAAAGACAGTTTGCAAATATTTGTCCTAATGCTAAAGAGGAGAGGTGGAGAGAAAGGTGGATTTGATGAAGTCATTTTTAAGGGCCAATCCACAAAATCCAGGCATGGTGGCATACATCTGTAATCCCAGCAGCTCAGGAGGCTGAGACAGGAAGATCATGAGTTCAAAGCCAGACTAAGCAAAAGTGAGGCACTGAGCAATCAGTGAGACCCTGTCTCTAAATAAAATACAGAATATGACTGGGGATGTGGCTCAGTGGTTCAGTGCACCTGAGTTTAATCCCTGGAACCCTGCCACCCCCCAAAAAAGAACTTGCTGATTAGTTAAGTGAAGGAATGGTGCTATGAAAGAAGAAGACAAAAATTATGTAGGTGTCTCTGTGATGCATGGCTGCTACATTGTAAGAAAAAAGCTTTGTTGGAGCAGTAACTGAAAGGGATACCCTAGCAACCAGGTGTTTTCCTGGCTAACAGTGAAGCTGGTCCTACCTTTCCACTTATCTAATTGGTCCTAAGGGGGGGGGGAACAAGGGAGAGAAATGAATTACAGTAGATGGGGTAGAGAGAGAAGATGGGAGGGGAGGGGAGGGGGGATAGTAGAGGGAAAGATAGCAGAATACAACAGTCACTAGTATGGCAATATGTAAAAACGTGGACGTGTAATTGATGTGATGCTGCAATCTGTATTCGGGGTAAAAATGGGAGTTCATAACCCACTTGAATCAAATGTATGAAATATGATATGTCAAGAGCTCTGTAATGTTTTGAACAACCAATAAAAAAATTTAAAAATTAAAAAAAAATAATTGGTCCTAAGTAGGAAAAGAAAATCCCTAACTCATAGGACCTTCTTAAACTTTTCTATTATGCATATGGGTTGATGGTCAATAAATATTTGAATTACTGATCAATTAAATACTAGGGTTCTAATTGCCAGACACCATTAACATTTCATGGTAGTTGTAACCTTACCTTGTGTTTCATTTTCCTAGGAAACAAGTTTCTCTGTTCTAAGAAACACTCAGCTTCGGGTAAAGAATAGACTCACAAGTTTTTCCCCATTTTTTCTGTAATGTAGGCATATAAATTCCAGAAAAGTCCCCGGGAAGGAATATGAAAAGGAGTAGGATGCTCCAAAAAGGCCCCGAGCTTTCCTGGAGCACTCAGAGGAGTTTGCTCTCAAGTGGGAGAGGCTGTAGGGGATGGTGTGCTCCAACCGTCATTGCACAGTCATTAATTAAGCTATAGTCTAAAGATCATTAAAAGCAATTAGTGCTGTGTCAGTTACTACAAACTGGAGCTCTATTTCTTTACTTTCTTTCTTTCTTTTTCTTTTTTTTGAACTAGTGATTCACAAGAGGAAAGATGATGCAGTTTTAAAATAAAGCAGTGCTTTGTCCCAAAGTTTTTAGTTGAGGTGCTTAAATAAACTTGAAATGTCAAATAACATTTAAAAAGAGTCTAAGGTTTTATATTTAACAAAGGAGACTTAGAATGCAAACTTTGATGATGTGTGCGAATCATTAATATCCTGTAAGACCCGTTGATATCATTCAAGAATGTGAATGATATAATGTGAAAAACAGGCAAAAAAAAAAAAAACCTAAAAATGGAGAAATTACATTTTCAAGACTCTACTGATTTTCAAGCTATGAAAAGATGCTTGGCACTTTAAATACTATCATATTTGACACTCAAAAAACTCAGAGGGTGTGTGTATGAAGGATAGCAGAATAAAATAGACATTATTATTGCTGTGGGTATATACGTGACTGCATGACCAATGTAATTCTGCAACCTGTACACTCAGAAAAATGAGAAATTATATCTCATCTGATTCAAATGTATGATATGTCAAAAAAATAAGTATACATTTTAAATTAAGGAATTATGTGACCACATCCAAGAACTGTATGTAAACAGTAATATCATCCTTTAACAAATTTAGTGTTAAAAAAGTTATAGAAAAATGTTCTTATACTCAAAAAGAAAAACCTCAGAGGTGTGTGTGTGTATACATATATATATTCTTTATATTATATATATATATATATATATACACACACACACAAACACTATATATATATATGTTCCTTAGAGGTTTGAATTATTAACCCCATTTTATAGACTCTCAACTGAAGTTTATTGTATTATCTACTACTATGGAACAAATCATCAGAAACCTACTGACTTTAAAATAATGCCTTTGTTATCTATAGTTTTTGTGGGTGAAGGGTCTGGGCAGGGCTTAACAGGGTCCCTGCTTAGGCAAGGCTGTCATCTGGTGCTAACTAGGACTCGGGGGTCATCAGAGGGTCAGCGGGAGAAGGCTCTTTTCCAAGTTCCCTCTGGCTTTTAGCAGAATGAATTTCACTGGGGCAGCAGGATTCTCAGTAGCTTGCTTCTTTAAAGACAGCAAAGGAGACAGGCAGGTGCTTCACCCTATGTAATCAGGTACAGCACACTGGGTTGATCAGAAGCAAGTTGCAGGTCCTGTCCACATGCAAGGGAGAGGGTCTCACAAAGGCATCAGTAGCAGAGGCAAGTGCACAGAGGCCACCTAACTTGTTCACAGTCAAGGTCATACAGCCAGTACATGATAGGGGAGACCCAGGTCTTTCTGATAGCAAAGCTGGTGTTTGGAGTCTCATCACAGCTGTCCCTCAAAGCACCTGGATTGTTTGACTTCCCCAGGTCCTGACCTTCTCACTTAAAATACAAGCAGCTCCATCCCACTGAGCTTTTATGGTTCTCCCAGTTTCAGCAAGTGTAGCCAGCAGGTTGGTTGAGAGCTCATCATCAGGAAAGTGGGAATAGTCACCCTGTTTGTCCTTACAGGAGGAACCCACTAGGTATTTTAATATTTCCTCTGGTCCTTTCTGCAGCGTCATCTATGGCATTGTGATCCGAACTATTTGGATTAAAAGCAAAGCCCAGGAGATGGTGATTTCTAACTGCTCGGGTAAGTCTCCATATCACCCAGTTTGTGACTAATTTTGTCCATGAAAAGGTTTTCCTCTAGCAAACATGAGCTGGGGTTTCCTGGGTATATAAACATGAGCTGGGGTTTCCTGAATGGTTCTATACAAGCCTGCACAATTATATCAGGACCCATCTCACAGATCAAACCCACCAAACGCTATCTCTGGGAGGCACTGTCTTCCCCACTTGGCCCCCTGAAAACCGGGAGAAGCAGTCTTTGGGCCAAGATTGAGAGTCTCTCTAATCTCAGGTCAGGCAGGCAGCACCCTGGAGGATGCAGGAATGAGAAACACGATGCATTTAACAAACACGAGGCTGGGCCTTTCTGTTGGATTTAGAGATGGGTAAATCTGCCATCTGTCCACAGAATGATCCTGGGCTCCAAGCCAGTTAAGGAATAGTCCACATGTTTTCCTCGCTGCCTCAACACACCAACTTAAAACTAGTCTGCACCTGGGATGGCTCACTAGGACCCTTCCCAAATTTGTTTTGGTGAACCTGGATATGCAACACCTCCTAAGCTCTGAGACCAGTTGGCTGGCTCTGCTTCCCAAGCAAGTTTCCTGGGCCTGACTCAGGTACCACCTTGGAGAAAACACAGCCAGAAAGAGTAAAAAGGGCTGCTGGTTTTATGTTTGTTATAATGTGATAGTTGCTAAGTCATGTAACCTCTCTGGGCTTCAAGATATTAAAATGAGGGGCTCAACTTGGCCCCCTATAAGTTCTCTTCTTTTCAGACATGGAGTTAACCCACCTGCATTGGATCAAGATGGAGCTTATTGCATCCTCCTAAAAACTCCTTCTTCCCATGTGATGTGGGCCAACCAAGAGGATTAACAAGGGTCACTGGACACTGGTGATCTGTGTCTCTTTCCCTAGGAGAATGAGTAGAGGTGTAAGTCTTCATGTTCTCCTCTGAATTCCATTCAGTTCTGCAGTGCTCTGCATCCAGGAGTTGTACAAAGGACTGAGAATGACAAATGAGTCCATAGCAAAGTTCCTGACTGCAGGCAGCTGGCAGTCTAGGACCTTGTGTCCCAGACACACAGGACAGAGGGACAGGGAGAGCCACTTCATTCTTAGCCACTTCACTAGATCCTTCCCGTGCATTATCTCCTTTACTCCCTACAAATCACTGGAGGTGGTCTTATTGATTGGCTTTTCCAGATAAAAGATTCAAAGGTTAAGCTTATTTCTATGGGTAGCATGTGACATGACCTGTGAGGTACATGAAATTGACCAAACAGCCCATGCTTTCTTGCCTAAATCAGGCTAGGATCCTCCCAGGAGGAAGAACATTATAGAAATAAAAATGGTGAATGACTAAAAGAAAAAATAAAAAAGAAAGAAAACTGCTTTTGATTAAACATCCAAGCTCAAGGTCTTTGGCATGGCCTTTCCTCTGTGGCACTCTCCTGTTGCCTTCAGAGCACCACCCTGTCTCATTTTTGGAAGTTTTTATTTGGATATATTTAAAATCTCATGACTGGCATGTTTAGGGCCAACTTTGCTGAAACAGCTAGATCTTCCGGTACTTTTAGATAATTAAATTCATGTAAGCCCCTGTCCTGTGGTTTCTACAATCCCAGCAGGCCGGCCTGCCCCTCCCTGCCTGCCCCTCTGAGCACACAACCTCACTGGCTCCCCTTCTCCAGCTTTCTGCTCCCTACACTCCTGTGGCTTCGGAGTTTGGAGCCCACCTCATTTTCCACGAGCTGACAACTCAAAAGAGTGAAGAGAGATGATGCTTCTGGAGGTTTGGGGTGACAGAAGGTTTCCACATGCTGTCAGCTACCTGCCCCTCTTTGCCAGCAATCCTCCTCTCACTATGGTTGAGGTCCTGTCTCTCTCCAGAGTCCCCCCCTAACTCCCTTTTACTACATCTTCCAGTCCCTGCACTGTTAGACTCCCCCCAACGACCTTCAGTACTGAAGGTTAGAGATTTTTTTTTCCATTGAAATACACTATGTCATTGCTCTCCCTGGAGGTAGAAATGCTACAGTTTTTACTCTTTAATGTAATTGTGCATCCCTGTTACACTATTTTTCATTGTCTCTATCCTTTATGACCATTAGTGACCTCCTTCAGGAATGAGGCCAGCTTTTATTCTCTAAAGATCATATGTTTTCTGTGTCTTCTTCACAAATGGATCTCACTTGATTTGCTATCTGTCATAACAGCCAAGCAGCGCTGGAGTTGGCCGTTAAACAGGAACTCCAGTGGGGCTGGCATGCCAGGATTATTGCTCATCAACAAGAGGACATTAGCAATGATTAGTGTGAACAGAAGCTCACTTTGTAAACACTGGCTGCAAAATTCAAGCCATCCTTCATGTAGGAATCATTCTTCTTGCTGACAAATAATGTCTATTTTCTCCCGCTCAAAGGCAGACTGAAAGAAAAAGCAAAACTGGTTCATAAATGATCTCAAGACGTTCCCCCAAACAAGTGTAAAGGGTGATAGGTGGATCAATTTCCCAACCTTGCACAGGGTCTTTCATAAAATGAGCATGCTCTTATATCCATGCTCTTAATGTCCTATAAACTAGAACATTTCCCAAGTGGAAGCAGGAGACTGGGGGTGGGGGTGGGGGGCTCACCCAGAGAGTAAACCAAGTATAACATATCTGGATGGGACTAGGTCTAGCAATTATGGCTTGTCAGATGTGATGTGATCCATGCTGTCTCCAAAGTGCATGTTTCAGATTAAATGAGGCAGAATGGGGTGAAGGAAAAAAGGCATATAATCTATGAAAGAAAGTGGGTTAGAGTTCTGTCACTGTCTAGATTAACACATTTAAGATAAACCCATTAATTGCTAGAAACTATAATTAAAGAAATGAAATCAAATCTTTACCTCCATCCATAAGCAAAAACAAATTCCAAGGAACTTAGAGACTTAAATGTGAAAATGAAAACTTTCAAAATGAAAGCAGACTTCGTCTTAGCATTCCCATCTGTAACCATCAATACAATGGCCTCTCTACAGATAAACTACATTTAACAAAATATGTTCAAAAAAGTATCAAGATACAAATAAATAAATATTATAACATGTTTGTGGATAGTAAGATTCAATATCACAAAGCAATGACCCTTCCCAACCAATCGAAAATTTAATACAGTTCCAATAAAAAATGGATTGTACTAGTATATTGAGATTGATAAGCTGCTTTTAAAATATACACTAAAAAATCAAGAGCCAACAATAGCCAAGACATTCCTGGAGAAGCAGAACAATGCAGAAGAGGTTTGCTGTACCAAATGTTAAGATTTATTACAAAGTCACTGTGGTTAATAGAGTGTGGTGTTGGCACAATACAATAGACAAATAGAAAATAAAACAGCCCCAAGCAGACCTGCACATATATGAGAACTTGATAGATGTCAGAAGATCATACGAAAAGAAATGAAATCAGATCTTTACCTCCATCCATAAGCAAAAGCAAATTCCAAGGGACTTAGAGACTTAAATGTGAAAATGAAGACTTTCAAAATGAAAGCAGACAGTATCTTTATGACATTGAGGAAAGGAGGTTTTCTTCAACAAGATACATGATACATTGAATTATAAAAGAAAAAATGCATAAATTTGACTCTGTTGACACATAAACTATCAATGCACGAACTGGGAGAAGCTATTTACAACACATATACCTGGGAAAAGATAGTATGCAGAATATACGAAGAACTACTGAAAATCAATTTTAAGAACATTTTTTCTTAGTGACAAATATTTTAAAAATCACCACAAAGGGAAACAGGAATAGCCAAAAATTAAATTCAGCACTTCATCAGTACTCAGGAAAGTACATGTTTAAATCTCAATAACTTTCTACCACGGAATTAGTAAAATTGTAAAAATCTGATAATTCTAAGTATTGGCAAAGATATGAATCTCAAGGTTTATGGTTTCCTTGGAAATATAATTCTTCAAAAACTTAGTAGACTCTTATCTATTTGCTTTCTGATCTTACATGCTAGAAACTATAATTAAAACGTTATTTTTAATAAAATTCTCAGATCTAATTTTTTTTCCTGTGCTTCCTCAACCAATCTCTACCCATCAACTTGATGGAAACTAGCTGGAGGTCATCAGAAACAATAGGTGGGAGGCCACATCCCTAGTCTGATCTTTGCTTTAAGAATAAATCTTAAGGGATATTTTCTAATTAAAATCTCTCAATGTTATAGCTTAATTTGGAGACCAGGGCCAGGTTTATTGGCTAGGACCTGTGCATTTAAAAAAGGCTCATGCCCGGCATGGTGGCACATGCCTGTAATCCCAGTGGAGACTGAGGCAGGAGGACTTCCAGTTCAAAGCCAGCCTCAGCAAAAGCGAGGTGCTAAGAAACTCAAGACCCTGTCTCTAAATAAAATACAAAATAGGTCTAGGGAGGTGGCTAGTGGTCGAGTGCCCCTGAGTTCAGTTTCTGGTATACACACACACACACACACACACACACTCATGCACACACACACCAAAAAAAGAAAGGCTCATGTTTGGTTTCATGTTCTGCTTCCATTTTCATTTTGCCCTGACCCACAAAAAGTATGTAGTCAGGATCTTTGGAGACTAGAAGCTGTTGGCATTTGCCATTCTGCAAGATCCCAAATTGGGGGACTTTCTCAAACTCCTTTTATTTTTACTCATAAACCAACTAACTCTTATCTGAGTTCATTTCTTTTTCCCAATTCCTTGCTAAACACAGCTGGTAACAATCAATAGGCACTATTAAAATTCACTTTACCAACCTCACCCCCTGGGATCCAGGCTCAGTAGGCACAGTCTGCCTTCCCAGGCATCATATGTGGCACTTCTAACAAATGGATCGATAGAGTCCCAGCTTCCAGTCTCAGTGTCCTTGCCACCTGCTGCCTGCCCACATAGCCAGTGCCACATGTTAGACTTTTATCAAGACAACATTGTGTGTAAGATACCAGTTTCTGTTTTAGTTAGGAAAACACAAGCAAGAAACTGTGTCAACTCCAAAACACCAATACCCTTAACAAAACCTAGGTTTATCTCTTGCTCAATTAAATTCCAATTGGCAGTAAAGGCCAAAGGGAAGGGCATTGTTCCATATGGTCAAAAATTCAAGTACGTGAAAATTCTGCTTCATTTTACAAAGGGCTACTTAAGGTATTCCTCAGCACCTGCATGCAGAAGGCAGGGGTGGGGTGAAAAGTGGAGGGTTTCTTTGTGGCTTATTGGAGTCAGGTCTGGGGAGGAGAGACATCAATTCTTCCCTTAGTCCCCTAAAGCAGAACTTAGTCTCATGACTATAACCTGCCAAAAAGGCAGTTGGGGAACATAGTATAGCTGCATGCCCCGGAGAAGGAAAGGGTTTGATGGACAGCTCACTCATCTCTGCATTATTAAAGGCCTGTCTGGATTCCTGGTTTTGCCTGAGCTAAGAACTGAGGTGCAGACATGGCTAACTGGTATGTCAGGTGATACCTTCTCAGATCTGACTGTGACCTACAGTTGGCACTGGGCTGAAAACCTCTTTTGGGGAAAATAACTCAAAAGGAATTCAACCTGAAAGTTCAAATATATGCAGGCATCTTGAGCTAATGGGGAGAGAGGCAGCACTTGGTGAGGAAAAAAAAAAAGCAGGGGGTGGAATAAGTCCTCCAAGGGCCTTAAGGACAAAAGGAGATATAAGTTCTGGGTCACCCATGACTGCTCCCACCTAATCACCCCAGCCTCTTGTCAACAGCTGTGGAGGGCAAAGCTGACTGTGAAGCTAAGGAGGCAGAAAGCCCTGGGAACTTAGGTGGCTACTACAGGAGCCCCTAGCTTCAGAACACAGAGAAGTGAAGACATGTTCTTGTTTCCTGCAGAAGCACTTTGAGAGCAGGTATCCCAGGAAAGAGCAGCGATGCTGAATAATTCACAACCCAGATACAGAGCTGAGGCCAAGAGCAGGGAACAGAGAGCAAAGCCACTGCCCAGGGGCACAAACTCTAATAAAGGGAACTTGCAGGAGCAGCTTAGAAGTGACTGCAGCTACCAAGCACATGGTGCCCGGCCACAGCCCCTCCAGAGGGGATGGATAACAAAGGGGAGGTCTGGGTAGAGTGGCCTCGCGCTGCCCAGGGCAGCAGCAGGGACCATGGAAAGCATGATTCAGATAAGGTCACCACAGAGGCACAGGTGGTGGCCAGGGAAAGATCTGGGAACACTTGGAGACCACACCACCCCCCTTGAGTTTACCAGAGAAACCAAAAAGTCAAAAGAATCCTGGGAAGATAATGCCCAGTCCCCTACAGCTAAGCAGAGGAGGTCAAATGCACACACACACACACACAAAAAAAAAAAATTTAACTAATGATTTCTGGGAGCATTCAGGTTTATATTTGGAAATAAAAAGTCACAAATAATTAAAAATAAATTTTTAAACTTTAAAACTTTTAGTAATCTGGAAAAATTACTAAGAAAGTGTATTCAATTTTTTAAATCAACCTGAAGGACACAAATTTTCCAACACAGGAAACATACTTATTTTAAAATATTGCCAGTAAGGCTTTCTTGTTTCTAAACAAATCACCTGCACTTACTATAGGCCCACAGATGGACCTCCCCACCTGGCAGGAATGAATTTTTGCCTGCTTTAAAATCCAAAGGGACCCATTGCTCCAGCTTCAGGTGTTCAGCCCACATGAAGAATGGGTTCCCAGCAGCTCAGTTAGGGGCCTGAAGCCTGGAGAAAGTTCAGAGTTGGAACTGGCCATTTGGAGACTATATTTGGGGCAGGGACCCCACTGGGGATTCACCCTGGAATGAAACAGTCTAAATAATGTGTTCCTTTCAGTCTCAAATCTAGTAGGTCCACTGCCTCCAGGCTGCCCAAGCCATTAATGCACAGTGACAGCTGAATTTCACTGCTTTTCACTCCAGCTCCACAGCAAAGCCTGAGTAGAAATAATCCTTTTATCTCCCAATAAAGGAGAATTACCGGCATTTTGTAGCTCAGCTCTCTTTGAAGAGCCATCTTTGGAAGCTGGGGCTTTGCATTTCCTGAAGTGGTCAGATTAAAGACGCTTTTCACTGATCTCATTGGCAGATCGGAGAGCAAGGTAGTTGATTATATTGTCACCTAGTAGCCTTGTGGAAAGTATTTTGAGTTTCCATTTTAAACAGATTTCAGAGCACAAATGTCATTTTCAAAAACTTTTTGGAATGACCAACTATGTCTTTGAAACCCAGCTGTTACACACTGTTTAGAACCCAGCTGTGACCTAGGACCAGCAAGTGGAGACACTTCAAAAAGATATAATTTGGTCTGCTATCATCTTTCTTTGTCTCCCACAGGAATAATCCCACCCTGGCAATTTTCTGTTGACTACAGATAACATTGTATAAGGTAGTAATATCTCATGTTTCTTCCATAAAGAGAGAGCTCATATTCCTCCTAAAATGCAGTTAAAACTTCATCATCCCAGTTGGCAGAGTAACTGACATCCCAGCATGAAACTTGGCACCCCGAATACATTATTTTATTATAATTCTCAAAGTAACTCTGTGAGGTTACTGTTCTATGATTCATTTTTTAAATGGGGAAGTTGAGACTAGGAATCTTAGACTATTTGCCTAAGCATTCACAGACAGTCATTGGTGGAGCTGGAGTGTATATTCAGGTATGACTCTGAAGCCTGTGTCCCTCCCAAGATACGACCCTGGAAATCATGGTTCTCAACCTTTGCACCTTCAACAATTTGAACTGTATAATTCTTTGTTGAAGGAGAGAAGACTGTCCTGCATGTTGAAGGATGTCTAATTGCATTACTGGCCCTTCTGCCCACTGGACACACACACACACACACACACACAGTTGTGGCAACCAAAATTGGGTCTAGGCATTGCTCAAGTCCTCTGAAAGGCAAAATCACACCCAGTTGAGAACCACTGCTATAAATGTTTCTGAAGCATCTGCTGCCTTACAGTGCTTGGGTTCTGTGGTTTTAGGAAATGCACTGAATAATTTAAAGACCTTAACAATATTTAAGAGTGGCCTTGGGCTAGGGATACAGCTTAGTTGTTAGAGTGCTTGCCTCGCATGCACAGGCCCTGGTTCAATCGACAGCACCACAATAAATAAATAGATAAATAAATAAATAAGAGTGACCTTGTGGGTTATGCCTTAAGAAATAAGAATCGATTATAAGTATTTTAGTTATTTGCACCTAAAAACCTGTTATCATTTGTCATAGTGTGTCCTTTTCAATGAAGAAATATTCACACTACAAAAATGTTTGAAAATTGCTGCCTCAGAAATTCAGCACAGACTTCTTCAAAGATATTCAAGGTCTTCCCAGCTCAGTTCTTCTTTGCACCCTCAAACCCCACGCACTTGCAGGCTACATCCAAACAAGATGACTCACCATGGTCCTAACACATCCTCCACTTTTCTTGTTTCATGTCTCGGCTGAGAATGCTCCCTCTGCTTTCCCTATCTCTCCCAGTGCTGTACCTGCACCTCCATCTTTCCTGTGGAATCCCTCTCATGTCATTCAAAATTGACTCGATGTTCTCTGCATTTTCTAACTGAAGTTGGCCTCCCTAGTGGACAACAGCCTTGCCCCATTTGGCTTAGATGCTGACTGGGCCTCTGAGCTGGGCTGTTGCTAGGGCTGAACCATTTTGTCCAACTGAATCGCACCAAGTTGAATCATGTAGGGAGGGAGGCTGGCTTTTTTCCCCTGCTTCCCTCCCTGAGGTATGTTCTGGGGCAGGTCTGTGTCCATCCAAAGGAAGGAGACTTTTTCCAAATTTCTTAGAAGGTACCATATGAGCTGGTAAAGTTCTAACAGGAAAATCTCTTTCACAGAAGCAAAGGACCCAGGACCAACATTTCACCCCCAAATTTACCATCTCTCTCCTCTTATGGCACTGAATTCTGTCCATGATGTTTTGCCCCTGTCTTATCTATGAGAAGTTATTATTGATTCACTAATGTTAAGTAATCATTTCATATTCATATCATTATTACATAAATGGAGAAAACAAAACTCCTGGGCTCCTCTAGCTTATATTGTAGTGGATTCTTATTTCACCCCTCCCACAAGTGTTTTACTATCACATGACAGCCCAATATGGTTAAAGTTATATCCATGCTCAGATGTATGCCAGTTGTTTGTGTTTGAGCTTTTGTTGGGAGATTTTGAGCTTGAATTTTGTTGAGTAAAGTTTCTGAGTTAGATGAATGAGTTGGTCTGGGATGACCGTCCTAGCAAAATGACTTTTGCTCAGGTTGCCGAAGCGAATATATAAGAGTCTTGGCATAGCATGGACTTCGGAGAACAGCCCCCAACAGAGAAGGTCTCTTCCCCTCTGGTCACATGGTCTAATTCCAGCTGCAGCTGATTCAGACCATCTGACCATGTCTGCATCCCACAGCATTCGCATAGCATATTGTGTTAAGTTGCAAACTGAGCAGTTTCCAGCAACCATCCTTGAGCCATTTTCACCCTAAAACTATCTGAGGAAAGCCTTCTAGTCATAGGCAAGCAGGACATAAGTGGTCCCATCCATTGAGAGCCACAGGTCTAACCTTCAAAGTTTCTACTGATAGAAACAGAAATTGCCACATCTTGAGCACTCCAGTTGACCATTCACCTGTTGTGTCTACAGATGGGAAACTGTGCACCAGCTACAATCGAGGGCTCATCTCAAAGGCAAAAATTAAGGCCATCAAGTACAGCATTGTCATCATCCTTGGTAAGCAATGTCCCTCCTTGGATTGCAAAACCGTATAAATGTTTCAAAACCAAACTAGTTGCAGGAAGCCCATAAAAGGAAGGAGTTTGTGTATAGCACTTCTATCTTTATCTGCTTGGAAAGTAATGTGTGAGACTCATCAGTCCATCTGGGCTTCTTTCAAGGGCCAACATTTGGTTCCTAATCTTTCTCCTTATGAATAAAGTCACCCATTAAAGCTCTGTGTTGCATAACTTGGGAGTAAATTAGATTATGACCTAATTAGTTGTTTATGCCAAGATCACCCTGTTAACTCAGGTGCTTCCTTTAATACACACTGTCCTCCAGGGCTGAAAACAGCAAAGATGAGATAGAAGTGCACTCCATTTCTCCTGGATATTTAACTTCCATGTCACTGCTAATACTTTTCTTATGGCCATCTTTTCTGTACTTCCCCCGTGTTGTCTTCTGCCCCTTTCCTTTCCTTTTTCTCTATTTTTAACATTCCATAAAGTCACCTTGCACCTTCCTGTCTGAAATTTTCTCCTCTTGGATGAATGCATGGCTTCCTTCCCCACCTTGGTTTGTTCCCTAACAATGACATTTCCTTCAGCCTCATTGGTAGGTCTTCTAAAATAACCCTCCTCTAGCCTTACCCTAACATGTTTATCTTCATGGTCCCTTCACTTCTTCATGGTCCCTACTTCTATCTACACACACACACACACACACACTCTCTCTCTCTCTCTCTCTCTCTCTCTCTCTCTCTCTACTTACTATCTCCCTTGCTAGAGCAATAAATCCATGAGGACAATGACCTGCTTTTGTTATTTACATTATTGTTATCAGCAAAGACTAAAATAGTGTTCCCCATACACTGCTCAATTAATATGTGTTAAATGAGCAAATGAATCGAGATTCACAAGAAGAAAAGGGATTTGTGCTATCTCCTTTTTATTTAGCTGAAACACCCTCCTCCAGGCTCCTCTGGCAGCTCTTAGAAGCTCCAGGAGAGCATTAGCTGCATGTCAAATCACCAGAGCAGCCTGTCTCTCCTTTCTAAAATGCAACTGCAAATGCCAAACAGACCACAAACAGTGTGACTCAGCCAGCAGAATATGGGCACAAAACAACACCGCAGGCGGAACTGGGGAGAAAGTGCATACCACTCACCAGGCCCTGAGAAGCCTTTCTCAGAGGCTTCTGAAGCCTTTCTCAAAGGCTCTCTTTGCCTTCCCAATCAGAATCAGATGCACATTCCCTGGATGTTGAGCTGGGAAATGCATGTTTATACATGTATTCCAGAACCCCACAAGCCTTTATCAGGGACCATATTTCTAGCCCCTACAAGATCCTTTCAGTCTGCAAGCAGGTATGCCCATGAGAGGGTCAGTGAGTGTTGGCAGACCAAAATGGCCCTTTCTATAACAAACACTTTGTAATGCCTCTTTATCACCTAAAATGGCATGTATAATACATTCTGCCTTGTATGGTTAAAAAAAAAAAATCAGCGTACTACTCCAACAATTATCTAAAGTAAGAGTAGAAAGAAAGTAATTTAAAATAAAATAACACCAATTTTGACATGTCACTATGTGGCCACAGCTACATGAGAAGAATAATGAAGTAATCAGATGCTTACACCTGAACATCGTAATAGCTACGAATAAAAACCAATACAGGTGTGTTTTCATGGAGGCATAAAGATATAGTATTGCTGTCAGTGACTTGATTTTTCTAAGCAGACAAATAAACCATGGTAAAGTTCCAAATTAATCATTCCTCCACTTACAAGGAAATTACATTTCTGAAAAATTCACTTTTTATTAAAAATGTCCATGTACATATATGAGATTTGGGTTTCTAGCCTGGGGGTAATTATAAACCAACCAATGTCCAGTTGGACATATGAAAAATGTTTGGAGCATGAAACAAGTTTTTTCCTGGTTGGGCTGCTGCCTATAGTATACAGTAGGATGGACATCCCTGTGACAGTCTCTCTCTCTCTCTCTCTCTCTCTCTCTCTCTCTCTCTCTCTCCACACATACACACACACACACACACACACACACACACACACTGCAGTTTTACCCTTGATATCCCAGAACCACTTTTCTGAGCCAATGTTGGGGTTAACTACCCAGGGTCCAGAATTCTCATTGCTGTTTTTGTTTGAATGGGTCCCATTTAATACATTGCCATCATCATGAATTAATTCCTTATTTCAAAACTCCCAAGCAAGTTACAGAATCCCTCTTGAACAATTATGGAAGAAAAACTTCCCAGTATCCAGCTGGCCGAAGAAGTCCATTTGCTCCTACTCTTAGAAAAATCTTGTGGATGGGAAAATTGTTTGGGAGAGAAGAGTGGCAAAGCTGTACCCAGTCAGTAGGGCAGCACACGTGTGTGTTCAGTCAACCCCAGAGTATGTTGCTCTGTATTAGTCGATGCTCTCTAGGGAAATATGAAGAGATAAATAGATAGATTGATTGATTTTGCTTTATTATATGTGTATATATATATATATATATATATATATATAATTATGGAGGCTAAGAAGTCTTAAGATCAGCAGTTGATAAGCTAGAGACTCAGGAGACAGTATTCTAAGTTCTAATCCAAGTCTGAGTTCAAAAGTCTGACAACAAAAGAATTAATGATTTAAGTTCCAGTGTGACTCCAAGCATGAAGTAGAAGACCAATGTCCTAGCTCAAAGACAGTCAAGCAGAGAGAGTGAATCATTTGTCACTCAGCTGTATTGTTCTATTCAAGCCTTCAAGAGATTAGATGAAGCCCACCCAACCTAAGGAGGGCACACTGCTTTTCTTAGTCCACTGATTCAAGTGTTAATTTCATCTGAAAACAGCCTCAGAGATGCATCCAGAATAACCTTTAGCCAAATATCTGGGCAGCCAGGGGCCCGGTCAAGTTGACACATAAAATTAACCCTCACTCTCTGGATTCCCACATCTCACTCATTTTCTTTGAGGATTTGGAGTCAAGCGGAATCAGGGTCTTCCACACACCAATCGATTTGGACAGGGGTATTAGTTGGATGTTTTCTGGTATTTTCATGTCATCAACATCAACGCAAACAACTTTTCTAAACTGCATACACAGCCCTAAAACATCTCTGAAAGATTCCAGATGCCCCGAATCCTCCCAGTTGAAACTCCCATGAGGGCCAACTAAAAAGAGACCCCTCAGCTGTAGTCTGTGTGGTGCCTAATGGTTCATTTCTCCTCCCCAGCTTTCATCTGCTGTTGGAGCCCATACTTCCTCTTTGACATTTTGGACAATTTCAACCTCCTTCCAGACACCAAGGAGCGTTTTTATGCCTCCGTGATCATTCAGAACCTGCCAGCACTGAATAGTGCCATCAACCCCCTCATCTACTGTATTTTCAGCGGCTCCATCTGCTATCCCTGCAGGTAAGTGGTACCCTTACCTGGGTCAGACACACAGATGGCCACCACATTCTGACTCCAGCGTGGGTTTTCTTCATCCCAAGGCAGGTGACAGTCTCACTGTTTTATAGATGAGACATGAGAGATCAGAAACTTTCCACTAGTGTGACAAATTTAACCCAGATTGAGCTACAGTCAGTGCTCTTTCTTCTATACCACTTCCTATAATAACGGCCTTAATCATGACACATTTAGAAGGTCTTTATTTTGTTTAAAGTTTCTCTATATGAATTGCTTCAATATAATTCTATCATGGTAACAGGAAATGGAACATCTTTACTATTTTATAGCTAAACAAAGTAAGGCTCACAGATGAAATGAGGTTATATGAATAACTAGTAGCAGAGCTAAAACTAAATCCCTTCCATAACTATTGTCATTCTGTTGGGTTTCACCTGTTTTCCTGCACAGGCTAGGAAGAAGGTAGAGAAATTAATAGGAAATAGAATAGTGGAATGGTTTAAGGTTTGGACTTAATACCACTGACAGAAGTTTAAATCCTGCCATTGTTTACCCATAGCTATGTGTGATCTAAGTTTTTTTAACTTCTAAAAACTTTAGTTTCCTCCTGTGTAAAATCGGGCAAATAGTGGTGTCTTCTTGGCCAATAGTGTTTCTGTCCACTGGGGTTTGGTGCTGACCAAAGGTCTGCAAGTGGTGGAGAGGGAAGGTCAGGATATTACTGTCAAGTGTCTATCCGTTGTCTGATCTTTAATAATTCTTCATTATCTCTTAGTATCTCTACTTTCCTTTACATCAGGACAAATTATTTTCCCTTACTGCTTTATTCTGACTTTCTCTAGGGAGCAAAGATCACAAGACTCTAGAATGACATGCCGAGAAAGAACGGAAAGACATGAGATGCAGATTCTGTCCAAGCCAGAATTCATCTAGACCCTTGGACAGTTGTAGTTGTAGGCTGAGTCTCATGAGCTCTTCTAGGTCCCCACAACCAGCTTGTGTATGTGCAAGGAGCCTGAGCCGATTTCTCCACCCTGCTCCTCTCATCACTTGGGAATGTGCAAGATACATGTTCTAATGAGGGTGTGTCATCTGCAATGGCAAGTATTAGCCAAAACCAACTCACCAACTATCCATGGGAACCAGGAAAGACACTTTCCTCTTCCTCTCTTGTGATTTCCAGCCCTCCTTCCCTTTGGTCATACCCAAACCCAATGGACAGAGATGGTACTGGCCCAAGGTCCTGGATTGGGTGAGCAAGGAGACAGACAAGCAGAAGGGACAAAAGGAAAACAGCAAAGTTATCCATAAATCTTCTAATTATAATTTTAAAAGTAAATAAAAGACTTAACAAAGACTAAACTTTTTATCCCCCAGTTTTGGATTGGAGGTTTGGTGGTTATAGCCAAAAAGAAGTTTGCCCCTGAAATGCCAACAAATTTACTTTCAGACACTGGTGCTTTGCATGTCCTCATTGGCAGCAGCTAAACTCACACTTCTGTTGTATCAACAAGCAATTCATGGAAAGAACACAACTACTAGCCTTCCTTAACAAGGTCAAGTGTAAGGGTATTTTCTCTGATGGGAAAAATATTGTGATAGGAAACCATGGGTCCTTCACCTCCAGCCCCATAGAGCTGAGACCTGGAACTCAGGGATCTTTGAGTATCTCTGAAGGCTCTTCCCTCTGTATCTAGTGTTTGGGTCACTCTGAATTCCATTGCTCACACTCAGGGTCACTTCTACCCCTTGTAGCCCTCCGATCCTCTCTTCAGATAGGAGCTGAGTTCCTGTGTTTTTTCCAGGCATGACGATCCTGTAAGCTCTTTACCAGTTTTGCATGCTGTAGTCTGTGTCTATCTAACACCTCTGCCAAGAAGCACTGGTGGGGTTTATTTTGACAGGTCTGGGGTTTGGTATTTATAAGCATAATCCAAGTGAAATATGACTAAATGTTTTAAAGTTAATTTTTTTCCTTTAGATTTTTCTATAAGTGGAAATGGAATAATTAAATTTGATTATGTATACATCCCCACCCACGGCTCTGGGATGCGCATGAGAACCTTATTTTTAGCTTCACATACATTCTTGACATTAAAATCTCCTTGGTAAAATCCTCTCTTCCAGAGTTGAAATCTTTTTTTTTTTTTTTGGCTGACTGCTAGTGGAATCATTAAAATGTTCAGTATATTTTAATAGCACTCCATTCCTCATTATGGTATCAACTCAAAGGCTGCATGTTTAAGGTCATGGTGGCAATTTTTTTCCATAAATCATCATTTCAATTCCATCTGACCTTAGGGAAAGTATCTTTTTAGACAGAAATCAGACACACCATCTCTCTGAAAATTATTCTCTGAACATGAGGAAGCTGAATAATCTAGTTTTATGTCTACACACCAGTTTTGAAGATTGCTTTCTTCTCTGTCCAATCAGCTAAACTTGAGCAACCCTGGATGCTTTGAGTGGTTGAGAAGTGCTTTTCAACATTTCCTTTTAAATCAAGATGTGCCACAGAAGACCCACAGAATTGTTGCTAAGATAGCTGCCTGCACAGAAGCCAATTAACAGAGCAGAATCTGGCAGGTGTCCTAGACAGCAAAACAGGAGGCCCAGGTTCTCTTGACAGATGCTTTCAATCTCTGTCAAGTTCTGGTCTGCAAAAGATGTCACCTGCCTACCTCATCCATCAGAAGATTCATAAGTCGAAGAGAGGGTGCAGTGAGGGGCTTTGTGATCTTATGAACTCTGAATGCGATTTATAGCTCTTGTGATGCTCTGTTTCTCATGTCCTGAGAAGACTGGAGATCAGTAAGATAATGGGACAGATTGCTGCAGGATGAGATGCCATTAAAATGAAACTTGCCTTATGTTAATTTGCTTGGCTTGGGAAAACCTGATTTAAACATTATGGCAACAATAGTACTCATTAGTCTCCTGACCTTGGGAGAATTATTTCATGCCCCTGGGCATCAATTGTCTCATCTGTAAGATGGGACCAAAATAAGGCTGGAGCAGAGGATCTTGGGGGCCCTTACAGATCCAGGCTCCGATATTGCAATGGCGTAAAGTCCACCTGGAGAGGGAGCTTCTGGGATTCTCTCCCAAAGAAACCAATGACTCAGTAACTCAAAGCTTAGTCATTTGCCCTTTAGAGGTGTAATTTCCCTATCTATCACTAGGAACTCAGAGAAACATCATTTCCCGGGAAATAGTTTGAGCTCTTAGAGAAAATTAGAAGTTTAGGGTGATGGTGTCACTTTTTATAGCCTTTGATGGCCAAGTGGGACCCAAGAAGCTAGTGGATGGTATATAAATAAAGGTGCTTACTTCCCACGCTAAGATGTCAAAGAGGGTTACATTATCTCATAGCTTCAGGGACAGGTGGAAATTTAGGATAACAAGAGTAGATGTGCTTAATATACTCAGCCACACTATAGAAAATAAGTCTCTCCACTTTACTGAACTAAATTAAAGATGAATGGTAAAAGCTTCTCTTCTTTCAGGGCATATGTGAAGCATAATTTAATTGAACTTGGATTTCATCAAGCCATATCTCCCATCCCTTTTCCCAAAGAAAATGATAATAAATTTTAATGAATTTTATTTGTGATTAATCATGAGAAAAAAAAGTGTCCCCCTTAAACCAGACCAATATGCAGCTTAAGCTTGCTTCCTAGTTTCATTCAGACAACTCTGTATACACACATACAGAAATGACCTTGCCTCCTGCTTTTACATCAATCACAAATGCCTGAGTCTGCTGTGGACATAGGAAAACTAAAGCATTTTAATAGGAAACGAAGTGATCTGATCTTCTAAAATCCTCTTAAATAAGTTAGAGACCTGCTGGCAGCCACAGTTTTATTTTGTTTTCATCATGATTCGAATATACCTCATCTTATATGGAGAGCTACCAGTGTTCCCTATGACTTTTCAATTGCATTTGATTGTAAAGAGTTGGCCCTAACTCTTTAGGGGGCCATCCTTTTTGTTTTTGGAAACATGAAAATCCTATGCCTCATTTCTCTGTAATCGCATTTTAAGAATTCATTATCCACAACAGGGCTGGTTCAGTTAACACTTTAAAAGTGAGAGGGGGAAGGGAGGGAGTATGTGGTTAGAAATGATGGTGGAATGTGATGGACATTATTATCCAAATTACATGTATAAAGACACAAATTGGTGTAAGTATACTTTGTATACAACCAGAGATATGAAAAAAATGTGCTCTATTAGTGTAATAAGAATTGTAATGTACTCTGCTGTCATGTATAAATTAAAAAAATAAAAATAAAAGTGCAATTTCATTTTTATAGAATGTTCAAGGGATGAGGCCTTGGATCATCTAGTCTCATAGTTTTCTGCTTGGAGACTCCTGAAGTGAAATCAATGAATCCAAAAAAAAAAAAAAAAAAAAAAAAAAAGGCAAGGAAAGAAAGAAGACACAGAACAATTGAGACCAATAGGAAGTATATAAGAAGATTGGTTTTATCCAAGTATATCAGTAATTATAACAAATGCAAAGAGATTTCATGGTCCAGTTAATAATCAATGATCATCAGACTAGATTAAAAACAAACAACAACTATCTATCTATTATTCATAAAAGACATGCCTAAAGTATAAGGATAAAGAAAGCTTAAAACTAATAGACTGGATCAAGATAGTCTATGGAAACAGTAACTAACAGGTGATAATGACAAAGAATGAATAAATTTAAAGGCAAAAAGCAGTAGAGAAAAATAAGGATCATTCATTATGATAAATTGTTTAGTTTATTAAGATGAAATAGTAATTCTAAGTTTCTGGGCATTTAAAAACATGGTATCCAAATCTATTCTTTAAAGCATTGTCAGACTATGGGGAATTTTATCACACTTAATTCCATTAATTAAAGCAGACCAAAATTAAGAAGGGTGTGCACAGTTCTGACATTACGAACACAGGTAGAGCACCACCCTGCCACCCCAGAGTAGACACTCTTTTTTTCAAGCACATGTAAAGCAGTTATAAAAGTTGACCATACACTAGGCCATCAAACAAGATTGAATTCATACAGTCTAGTTTTTCTGATCACAATGCAATTATGTTAAAAGTGAGGAATAGAGAGAAAACTAGAAAAATCCCAGGGGTTTGGAAATTAGGAAATATGTTTCTAAATAGCATTGTCAAAGAAGAAAACATGAAAATCAGAAAACAACTGTACTGAAAGATAATGGATATATATACATATATATATATACAAGTGTGTGATACAATATGTAAGGGGCAAGAAGAAAGATTCAAATCAATTAATAAAACATATCCCATGAAGTTAGAAAATTTCACAATAAAGGAAGCAGAGGAAGAAAATAAAAAGAGCAAGAGTAAAATTAATGAAATGAAAAACATAATAGAAAGGCCCTGCAAAGATATAATTCCGTTCTTGGATAAATAATTAAATCAATAAACCTCTGGTAAAACTGCCAAAAGGAAATAGAGAGAGAGAGAAGGAACAAATAAGCTGCATTTTTTGAAGGACACCACTATAGATCTTGGAGTCATTAAAGAGATAGTAAAATGATATTATAATTAAGCTTATGGGAAGAAAAATTAAAGCTACAGATAAATGGGACAACTTAATATATTAACTTAAGAAAAAAATCTGATAGTATAATAACTACAAAAGAATGTACCTTCGTTAGTGAATTCTACCAACATTCAAGATCAAAGCAGTTCCAATTTTATATACTCTTCAGAAAAATAGAAAAAAGGTGACTTTTAAGATTATTTCTGAGACTAGAAAAACCATAGCACCCAAACTGTACAAAGACATCATAAGAAAATAAAATTGCAAGTCTGTATTGTCATGAAAATTGATACAAAAATTCCAAATAAAATATTAGCAACCAAATCTAGCAAAATATAACAAAGCTAACATACATGACAACTGGACTCATTCCAAAGGTAGAATGTGGGCTTAAAATTAGAAAACCATATAATCATTATATTAAAGGATTATAAGAGAAGAACAATACATTATCCACTTAATAAATACAGGAAATGTGTCTAATAAAATTATTCAATCACCAGACATGATGAAAGATTTTTGCAAATGTAAACTTTAACCTCTAAATTTATGAACAAAAATCTTTAAGAAACAGTATAGCTAATGGTGAAATTTTTAAGGTGTTCCATTTGAAATAAAGAAGTTAAAAAAGGCCAGTATCACACTTTTTAATTCACAATGTACTGAAATGCTAGCCAATGCAGTAAAGCCAGAAAAAAAGAGATGAGATAAAATGTAGGAAGATTGATAATGAATAATAAAAACTGGCATTATTGACACAAATATATAGAATTAATTACTAGAATCAATCACGAAGTTTAGTAGTTGTGAATACAAAAATCAGTAGTATTTCCACATAAGAGCAACAAATGAAAAATTAAACAATTTAAGTTGTTCTTTATAATAGCCTTAAAAGAGGAGGCTTCTGGGGGAAAAGCTCATAAAGGGATATAAATCTTTATGGAGACAATAATAGTATAAAAATATCAAAGAAAACCTAATAAAATATAGAAATATATCATGATTAATTGTTTGGAAAATGAATATCATAAACTGATCAATTTCTCTCAAATTGACCTATAAAGACTCAGTAGGGTGCCAAAGTCCCAAAGGAATGTTCGGAGAACTTGGCAAAGCCACTCTAAAATGTATATGGGAGGGGAGGGGGATAGGAAGGGGATAGGAAGGGCAGCAGAATACAACAGGCACTTGTTTGGCAGTATGTATAAATGTGGCTACATAATCAACGTGATTCTGCAATCTGTACACGGGGGAATAATAAGAATTCATACCCCATTTGAAACAAATGTATGATATATGATGTGTCAAGATCAATGTAATGTTTTGAGCAACCAATAAATTTCTAAAAAAATGTATATGGGAATGAAAATGGCCAAGAATACTCAAGGTACTTGATTACAAATAATAATAATAGTAATAATAATAGAGTTTGATAGACCACATATCAAAATTTTTCATGAAGCTATTCTAATGAAAGTTGTGGCATTTTTTTCTAAAGTAGACAACTTAGCAAATTTTATGAGAACAGAGAAAAAGATGCCCAAGCATAGGAAAATATGATTTTTTTCAGAGGTAGCATTACAGAGGAATGAGGACATTGTTTTCTTTTCCAGTTGTCATGTATGTTAGCTTTGTTATATTTTGCTAGATTTGGTTGCTAATATTTTATTTGGGATTTTTGTATCAATTTTCATGACAATATGGACTTGTAATTTTATTTTCTTGTGATGTCTTTGTAGAGTTTGGGTGCTATGGTTTTTCTAGTCTCAGAAATAATCTTAAAAGTCACCTTTTCCTATTTTTCTGAAGAGTATATAAAATTGGAACTGCTTTGATCTAGAATGTTAGAAGGCACATTCTTTTGTAGTTATTAAACTACCAGATTTTTTTTCTTAAGCTAATATACTAAGTTGTCCCATTTATCTAAAGTTTCAATTTTTCTTCACGTAAGCTTAATTATAATATCTTATATGTAAATACATGGTGCTAAGAAAATTGGGTGTTTTTATGGAAAAAAATTTAAATAAAAGTCTATTGAATCATATGTAAAACTGGTTCCAGGTAGATTATAAATCTCAATACAAAATACAAAACAACTTTGAAGAAATAATATAAGACAATAGTATAAAAAATTTCACAACAGAGGGACTGGGGTTGTGGCTCAGGGGTAGAATGCTTGCCTAGCATGTGTGGACCGTTATGTTTGATCCTCAGAACCACATACAAATAAAATAAAGGTATTATGTCCAACTACAACTAAAACAACATTTTTTTTAAAAAAAGAAAAGATCACAGGGGAGGAAAAGATCTTTTAAAACATAAAGCCACTAATCAAAAAGGAAAATATTGATAAATTTGATTACTTCAAATTAGAATCTTTTTTATCGGGACACCATTTAAAAATCGAAAAGACAGACTATAGAATGAGAGTGATATTTGCATGTATTTTTTGACCAAGATCTACTATATATAATACATAAATACTTATGTGAATCAGTAGGAAAGAGATAGAAGACATTAAAAAAATGGGCAAGATCTTACTTCAGAAGAGAGGTTATCTAAATGGAAAAAAGCATGTAGAAAGTTGTTTAATCTCATTTTTAAAAATCAGGGAAATGTAAGTAAACTGCAATGTGATAGAAGTATGCACCCAGCAGATTCGGTGCATAAGATTAAAAACTTGGACAATATCAAGAACTGATGAAAATGTGGAACATTGGAAAGTATCATCTTGTGCTGGTGGGAAAATAACTAGTATAACCATTCTGGATTATTTTGTAACATTAACTTGTAAAATTAAGGATGCATATTTCTTGAGACCTTGAAATTCCATTTGGAATGTACACCCAAATGGAAGCGTATAATTATGCATATCATAATATATGTGACAGAATATTCATAATAGTATTGATTATTAGAGCCCTAGTTTAGAAGAAAACCAGATGCCCATTAACACTAGAATGAATTAATAAATTATGGTAAATTTCATACAATGCAATACTTTACAAAAAACCACAAAATTAAAAAACCACAGCTGCTTGCAACAACGTGAAAAATATCTCTGAAATAATGTAAAGGTAAAGGAGAAAGACACCAAGAAATGTCATGCAATTCCATTTATATAAAAATCAACACTAGCTAAAATTATACTGATGTGTTTGGCAACGCACACATAAGTCATAAAACTCAAAAGCAAAGCCATAAAATGACTTTTTCTAGAAGTCCGGATAGGAGCACCTCTGTGGGAAGACAGAGATCAGCATTTGGGAGGAGACATACAATAGTGGGGCTGGCAGAGTTCTATTTCTTGCTCTCAGTGGCAGGTTTAGGGTGTTCACTTTATTCTGGAAGGAGTGCAGAGAAGAGAGCCAGACTGAAACAGGGAGGTGATCGATTGGGTCTCAGTTACATGCAAAAAACAGCAGAGACAGCTGAAAGATCCTTTTCTGCATTCAGAGCCATCATCTATCATTAGCATCCAATGATAGCAGAACACTGATGCCAACATTTTTCAAAGTCTGCAGAAACAACTTGGCTCCTCCACAGAGCCCTGGGAGTCGGTTCAGCAGAAATCAAT